AGGATAGCGTGATCCCCCAAAAACTGTTTCAACTGAGACTCCACAATTTTTTCCAGTAGTTTAGAGGTGAATGGGAGTCTGGAGACAGGCCGGAAGTTGGACATGACTGAGGGGTCAAGGTTAGGTTTTTTCAGGAGGAGCTGGACAGCAGCATGTTTAAAGTCTTTGGCACCACACCTGAGGATAAACTGCTATTCAGAATAGTGAGGATAAAAGGACCCAGGGTAGGAAAAACTTCCTTTAGTAGTCCAGGGGGGACCACATCAAAGGGGGAACCAGATGGTTTCATGCTGCACATTACCTGCTCCAGAGAGGACAGAGAGATGGGCTCAAAGTGGTCAAACACAGCCACACACTGAGATGGGATGGACAGATCATGAGCTGGTGGAGAAATGAGTGCCCGGGTGTTTGCCACTTTTTCTAAAAAGAAATGGAGGAAGTTCTCACACAGCTCAGTTGAGGCTTCCAGAGGTGAAGGCTCACTGAGGTGTAGAACTGAGTTCAGGGTGGAGAAAAGAACTCGGGGGTTGTGGGAGTTGGAGACAATTAAATCAGAAAAGAATTTACATTTGGCAGCTTTAACGGTTTTCTGATAGTGACGCCAACTCTCCCTTAACATTTGAAAAGACACCTGGAGCCTGTCCTTCCTCCACTTTCGTTCAGCTCTGCGACACTGCCGCCTAACGGCTCGTGTGACGTCATTCAGCCAAGGCTCTGATTTAAGTTTCGTTTTTCTGGTCTTAAGGGGAGCAACATGGTCCAGAACATCTAAACAGGCAGAGTTGAACTGAGAGGTTAGCTCCTCAGTGGTAGGAGACACCGGGAACTGTTCGATCCTCTCAGAATTAAAACCTTCATTAAAACGAGCAGCAGTGAAACGGTTAATGGAACGCGTACGTGCAGGAACGCACGTCTTAGCAGTATGACAAGGGGGGGGGTGAAGTCAAACAATACAGGCATGTGATCTGAAAAAACATTGTCACCGATTTTCAAATTAGAAACAGAGACATCGCGTGTTAAAACAAGGTCCAGCGTGTGACCATGTTCCTGGGTGGGGCCGCTCACCTGCTGAGCTAAGCCAAAAGAGTCCAATAAATCCAGAAAGTCCTTCACTAAGGGCTGCTCCTGACAACACACATGCAAATTAAAGTCACCAATAAGCAAAAAGTGAGTGTATCTCTGAGTGATATCAGCCAAAAAGTCAGAGAATTCATTTATGAAGTCCTTAGAACGAGGTGGGCGGTAGATGAGCGCACACAGGACCGGAGGAGAGTGTCCAAGTTCAAAGGCGCTCAGCTCGAAGCTGGCGCAGGACACCGGGATGGACAACTGTTTACACGCAAAGTTTGCTTTAAAAACTGTTAATAATCCCCCCCCGCGCCGACCTGATGGCCGCGGGGCGTTGAAACATACACAGTCCGGAGGAAGTAGTTCCACCAGGGCGCTGGACTCACCATCAGAAATCCAAGATTCTGTGACGAACAGAAAATCCAACTCCTCATCTTTAAAAAAGTCATTGAGGATAAACGTCTTGTTGGAAACAGACCTTGCGTTGATTAAACACATCCTGATATTGTCCGACACAGGCACAGCCGTGGAGGGAGACGCGCGCGCCAGCGGGCGCAGGTTATGAAGAACAGCTCCTCCTGGTCTGCTGGTGCGGCGCACAGGTAAACAACTCCAGGTGTTTCCATGGACTGAGCGCGCGGGCAGCTGGCCAGCAGCCGGGCCCCGGGAGCACCACGGGTCAGAGAGGAGATGATCAGATCCAGAGCGAGTCCTGTTAGAATAATCCACACTTTGCCTCAGTTTCACCAAAATCCCTGCACGCTTCCCACGACGTCTGCGACGTTTCCTCCATGGAGAAAGGCCAGGGTCACGCAGAAGGAACGCAGGAATCTCAGATAGGACCGGTGGGGGAGAGTGCTGGCCGCTGTTCAAAAACTCCGCGGGAATTTCAGCAAAAGTACGGAGCTCCAAAAGTGCCCGACGATCATACTGAAAATATGACTCGGCACACTGCACAAACCATTGTAAAAATAACAAAAATAAAATACAAGCAGAGAGCGAGAGACGGGCAGCCCTACACACCGGTGCCATCTTGGAAAAAAATGTCATAAAAATGTCATGTTTGACCTCTGTAATTGCAAACAAAGGCTACCAAATATTAACATTGATTTTCACAGGTGTTCAAATACTTATTTGCAGCATTAACACACAAATAAATTATTAAAGAATCATACATTGTGATTTCCAGATTTTTTTTTTAGATTACATCTCTCACGTTGGACATGCACCTAAGATGAAAATTTCAGACCCCTCCATGATTTCTAAGTGGGTGAACTTGCAAAGTCGCAGGGTGTTCAAATACTTATTTTCCTCACTGTACATATACGTATATATATTTGTATGTATATATATATAAATATATATGTGTATCAATACTAAAATAAACTACTACTTACTACTTGTTCTACTATTTCTACTTCACGGTTTTTCACTTATCGTGAGTCTTCAGGGTACGGATCATCTGTGTGTGATAAACGAGGGACTACTGTAGGATTCTTACAGACTGGCTGAGTTGACTTTAGTTTCTGATGTTATATACCGGTAGTATATTTAATCATATATTCAATCATTAGGGATGATTGCTGTATGCACGTACCGTAGGCTAAACATTACATCACTCACTGCTACATTAAATAATTTTTCCATCACGCAACATCATAAGCATTTCCAATGACTGCGATCTCTCCTGGAATTTCAGTATTTACTCAGAGACAAGTCAGGGACTTTTGCTTACACGAATTGCTGGGAACCCAATCAGAACCACTGCAGGCTTCTTCGCCAGCCAGAGCACAAAGCTCTGAAGACTATCTCTGAACCCAGACTAAGGACTAGAGGTGGCAGAATATTTTAGTGGTGGCCCGACTCTGTTGATCAGGCTGCCTCTACACATCACATTTTTCCAGACTGTTGAACATTTTATTCTGCTCCTTAAACACTCCTACCTTTTTTGGCCTATAATTCTAGTGGAGCAGATCATAACATTTACTGTGCTAGTTCTACGTTTCATCTATTTCAATAGCTTTATTTCCTGTTGCATTATTTTAACTGTGTTTTTGTTTGTTACGAGAAGCCCTTTGTATAGCTAAGGTTTCTGCTGTAACGACTGACTTGAGTTTGGCTTTAGTTTTTGTGCTAAATGTGGTGTTTTTTCTTTCCCCACAGAGGAGAGGAGAGGTTAGGAGGAGGATATATTGTTGTTGACCCTGTCCTTCGTGTTGGACCAGACAATCATGTCCTCCCATTGGACTGCATCACCATCCAGACATACCTGTCCAAATGTTTGGGACATTTGGATGACTGGACAGATAAACTGAGAGTGGCCAAGGAGTCAGGTGAGATTGTAGCTTTAAGCATCAAAGGGTTCTACAATGATCCTGCACATTTTTTACTTTTCATTATTATTATTTTGAATAACTACTTTCGGTCGGCTCCGAGGAGATTCTGGCAAACCATCAGATGGCTAAGGAGGGTAAAACAGCACTTTGCTAACACTCTATTCAGTGAAGGTGGGCTGCTGTTGACCTCAACCAGTGATGTCGTCGGGACGTGGAAGGAATACCTCTCTGACGTTCTCAATCCCACCAGCACGTCTTCCATGGAGGAAGCTGAGTCAGTGGACTTTGGGGTTGATCCGTCCATAACTGTGGCTGAGGTCGCTGAGGTAGTTAAAAAGCTCCGAGGCGGCAGGGCTCCAGGAGTGAATGAGATTCACCCTGATTAAGGCTTTGGATGTTTCGGGGTTGTCTTGGTTGACACGCCTTTGCAACATCGCGTGAACATCAAGGGCAGTGCCACTGGATTGGCAGACTGGGGTGGTGGTTCCCCTCTTCAAAAAAGGGGGACCGAAGGGTGTACACCAATTATAGAGACATCACTCTCCTCAGCCTCCCTGGTAAGGTCTATTCAGGGGTACTGGAGAAGCGAGTCCGATTATTGGTTGAACCTCAGATCCAGGAGGAACAATGTGGGTTCCGTCCTGGCCATGGAACACTGGATCAACTCTTTACCCTCACTAGGGTCCTCGAGGCGTCATGGGAATTTGCCCATCCTGTCTACATGTGTTTTGTGGATTTCGAGAAGGCATTCAACCGTGTTCCTCGGGGTACACTGTGGGGAGTGCTCCTTGAATATGGGATTGGGGGCCTGTTGCTACGGGCTGTTCGGTCCCTACACAAGCGGTGCAAGAACTTGGTTCGCATTGCCAGCAGTAAGTCTGACCCCTTCAGGGTGGGAGTTGGACTCCGCCATGGCTGCCCGTTATCACCGAATCTGTTCATAACTTTTATGGACAGAATTTCTTGGTGCAGCCAGTGGGTGGAGGTTTTCTGGTTCGGTGGCCTCAGGATCCCATCTCTGCTCTTTGCAGATGTTATGGTCCTGTTGGCGTCATCGTGCCTTGATCTTCAGCTCTCACTGGAGCAGCCTGGGAATGTCTTGGAATCCTCCCAGAAGAGCTGGAAGAGGTGGCTGTGGAGAGAGATGTCTTGGCTTCCCTGCTCAAGCTCCTGCCCCCTCGACCCGACTTCGGAACAAGTGGAAGATAATGGAAGGATTATTTTTTTCCCCCCCTTTTCCTCTTTTGACATTTTTGGTAATATATATTTTTTAAAATTGTATGCATTTTACAACTTCAACACTGAACACCTTCAAAAATTGGACACCTTTTAATGAAAAATGAAAGGATGGACGGATTTCTTTTTGGCATAAAGTTTTTTACATAAAAAGACAATTTTCTGCACTAGCTTTCCTTTATTTAAATAAAAATTAAAGTAAACATCAATGTCAGCTTTATTTATATAGCACATCTAAAAACAACAATGTTGACCAAAATGCTTCACAAACAGAAAATCAGCAATAAAATAAATGAAAGATCAAACATTAAAAACACAAGTATAATAAAATGGGCTAAGAACAAACTAAAACAATAAAATAACCTCAGAGGTTCAATTCAAACCAAACACGTGTCAACAGCCAGTGCAGGAAGTGAGTTTTTAGGTGGGGTTTAAAAGACTGTAGGACTCTGCAGAATGAATATCTATGGGCAGATTGTTCCAGAGTCAGGGGGGTGGGGGACAGGTTGGTCCAGAGTCTGGGGGTGGGGGCAAGTTGGTCCAGAGTCTGTGAGGACAGGTTGGTCCAGAGTCTGGGGGAGTGAGGGGGCTGCCACAGCATAAGCCCAATCTCTGCTGTGTTTTAATTTAGCCCACAGATCACATTGTGAGGAGTGTTTTTAACTCGTCATATCTCTTAAAAACAGGTGCTGGTCATAAAATTGGAATATCATTAAAAAGTTTATTTATTTCAGTTGTACACCACCTCAGAAACAGTTCACCTCAATTTAAACAGAAACAGTCACCTCATCTTAAACAAACATCATTCATGTGTTTTGTGTTTTGAACTGTTTAAAATAAGATGCATCTATTCCCTTGGGAACAAGCAGACTTTATTTTACAGGTGTTCAACTCAGCTCACAAACTCCTTAGTTGACACTAATGTGAATGTATATAAAAAAAAACTGTCACTGTGTTAACCACTTCCAATATGAACTCATTTCACATGAAACGGACAGATCGTTTTAATGAGTTTGGTTCAAACAACCTTGAAGTGAAACATCTGCCAAGACTTTAACTTTTATCAAAAAAGAGTATTACTCCCAGAATGTTTCCCATGAAGATAACATTTAAAGAAACCTTTGTTTCATGACATTTTCTTTCCAGGAGATGAACAGCGACACCTTTAGATGAACATTGCATGTTATTTCAAAATATGTCATATTTGAATGTTTATTTATGAAAATGTGTGTTTTAAGTAATCTCTTTAAGAAAATCATGTTTTATTTTTCTCCTTTTAAAATAAGAGTGACTTTTTAAAGGCAGACAGAGAAAATGGACTGTGATTTTATAAAACAGGACAAAGAGTTAGGACCACTCCCTCTTCTGAGGTGTGGACCAAAGTCAGTCTGTAACACACAGACAGTTAAGTTAAGTTTCACTTCTATATATACTTCTTCACTTGTGCTTCATCACATCTTCTTCAACACATCTTCTTCAAGCATTGAACCCCCTGGGACCCCGTGTACATAATTTCGCTCCACCACATGTACCACATGAGGTGCGAATGACAAAGAAACTCTGACTCTGACTCTGAACTTCGAGCAAACTTCAGAGAAGAAACTTCCTCCTAGTGAGATGTCCTGGGAAGGAAGAGAACCAGAAGCAGAACCTGGCATTAACCTGAGATTTGTTACCAGAGCCATCAAACCGCAGAGTGGGGAAATCCCAGCTGACTCCCATATGGACCCTTGTCCCTACAAGATGACAGATGAACTGTGTGGGAGACTCAGCCTCTCAGTCACCAGAACATCTGGACTGGTACCATTTTTAAGCAGCTGTTGGACCATTCTGACCATCTCATTCTGGTAGACAAGAGACCTTTAATGCCTTTCTGGTGATCATACATCACAATAATATTGCTTGATATACACCACAGTTAATTTAGACACAATTTCAACTACTCCACAAACAGAACTAGTCCAAAATCTGCTTTTTTTTAAAGTTCCACTGATTTGAATAATCAAGTAGTCTTTTGATACAAAGCTATTTTGTTATTCATCCATCCATCCATTATCTTTACCCGTTTATTCCATTTTGGGTCACGGGGGTCGCTGGTGCCCATGTCCAGCAATCACTGTGCGAGGGGCGGGGTACACCCTGGACGGGTCGCAAGTCCATCACAGGGACACATAGAGACAAACGAGACAAACAATCATTCACTCCCTCACTCACACCTAGGGACAATTTAGAGTTACCAATCAGCCTAACATGCATGTTTTTGGTCTGTGGGAGGAAACTGGAGCACCCGGAGAAAACCCATGCATGCACGGAGAGAACATGCAAACTCCACCCAGAAAAGCCCCTGGACCGGGGTTTGAACCAAGGACCTTCTCGCTGAGAGGCAGCAGCTCTACCAGTTGCGCCACCGTGCTGCCCTATTTTGTTATTCATTTGTGTATTAATTTTTATGCATAATCTTCATCAGACATATCACAGATTATTATTTTTGTAATAAAATACATCAAATCAACTAAATTTGTGATTATTTTGGCATATCTGTGTGTATTAACTGATTTGAATGCCCTTTAAACATGAGAAAAGAACTCATTAAAGCACGAAACTTGAGTCTGATTTAATAATTTCTTGCTTCAGAACCGGAAAGCAAGTTTTGCCCCTTCAGAATAATATTACTAATAAAAATTCAACGATCTGAGGAACCCTTTCCTCTACACAGTCATTCTATTCAAAAAGTGAAACTTGTGTATTATATTAATTCATTACACACAGACTGATATATTTCAACTGTTTATTTCTTTTAATGTTGATGATTATAACTGACAACTAATGAAAATCCAAAACTCAGTATCTCAGAAAATTAGAATATTGTGAAAAGGTTCAATATTAGAGACACTTGGTGCCACACTCTAATCAGCTAATTAACTCAAAACACCTGCAAAAGCCTTTAAATGGTCTCTCAGTCTAATTCTGTAGGCTACTCATTCATGGGGACGACTGCTGACTTGACACTTGTCCAAAAGATGGCCGTTGACACCTTGCACAAGGAGGGCAAGACACAAAAGGCCATTGCTAAAGAGGCTAGCTGTTAACAGAGCTCTAGGTCCAAGCACATTAATAGAGAGGCAAAGGGAAGGAATCGATGTGGTAAAAAAAAGTGTACAAGCAATAGTGTTAACCGCACCCTGGAGAGGATTGTGAAACAAAACCCATTCCAAAATGTGGGGTAGATTCACAAAGAGTGGACTGCAGTAGTCAAGCCAAGTCAAGTCAGATTTATTTATAGAGCACATTTAAAACAGAAACTGTTACCAAAGTGCTTAACAAAAATATCACATCATCAAATAAAAAGTAGCAAGATATATTTACAGCACATGGAATAAAAATATAAAACCAAAAACAATTAGAAACAATGAAATACTAAATCAGATCGCGTTGTCAAAAGTCAAGGAAATAATAACAAAAAGCATAAACTCAGTCAGAAACAATGAAATACTAAATCAGATCAGATGACCTTGTGTTAAATAGGAATAATAACAAAAGCATAAACAAAATCGGCATCAATGAAAAACTAGATCTAAAATCTAAACTAGATTTAAAATCAACTCTGACACGTACAGGAAGCCAGTGAAGAGAGGACAGAACCGGAGTAATGTGCTCAAACCTACGAGTTCCTGTTAAAAGCCGAGCTGCAGCATTTTGGACGAGCTGGAGACGTGAAAGTGAAACCTGACTAACCCCAACATAAAGTGAGTTACAGTAGT